GAGACAGCGGTACGAGACACAGGCGTACCCGGCAGCAGAGAACTGGTGAGAGAGGCCATCTTCACAAGGAAAGGAGAAGCCTTGCGTCCACAATTACGCAAGCTTCAATATTCGCAATTGAAGTAGCAATAAAGAGCAAGCTACTCTTGTTGAACAAGAATTCAGTCGCAATCAAGCCTTCGTTATCAAGACACGCAGGCTTCCTTACATACGCAATACAAAACGAAGAACGACAGTGGTGCAGAGCAATCGGCAAATCAGCATTTTACATGAGACGATTCATCTAGACAAGACAAAATTCGAGGGCATCATCAAACAAAGCACATCCTAGAGGCGGAACAAGGGTACCAGAATTTCTATAGAGAAGAACCGCCGCCATCTTGATAAGCGGCATAAACCAGCAGCACTCAAGTCACTAGCCAGTCAGTCCGTGAAGCAGTAGTAGAGCTACGAGTGCGAGTGCATGGGGGGCGCTGGCGTGCTAGTCGTGGGTCGGTAGGTGAGCAACTCCTTGTCAACTAACCTCATCCTAATACGCGTGATTGTTGACGGTTGATCTGTGCAATGGAGGCATTAATAAAAAGACGTGGTCAAATGAAAAGTAGAGTTACCGTATTCAAAACAGCCATTAATAAAGTGATAGCTAATTCACCAGACAAGACACAAGCAATAGATCATATAAAGAAGTTAGAGATAATCGAGCGCCTTAAGCTTATACGAGAAACATATTGCAAATACGACGAGATACAATCGCAAATCGACGAACTTAGTGAAAACGAGCAAGATACAATAGAATATCGGGAAAGGTTCAAAGAAGAGTATTATAACGTAGTAGCACAGGCCGAAATGTTACTTGCTCGTGATAGTATAACGGAGATGCTCGGTGCGGCCAATATCGAGGTTCAAAATGCGCAGTCAGCGATATCGCTTACTCAAGAACAAGCTAATCTTTTGAATCCCCCTAATGTTGCGAGACAAGCAAATCAAAATATTATCTTTAAGGCGCCGGGCATTAGGTTACAGACTATCGAATTACCTAAACTCAATGGAGATATAGCGGAATGGCTCGGTTTTCGTGATACATTTCTGTCACTTATACATAGCAACGAAACGATAAGTCCAATCCAGAAGTTTCATTATCTTAGGGCCGCATTGGAAGGCAATGCAGCACAAATCATAAAGTCATTAGAATTTTCAGTTATAAATTACAATGTGGCTTGGGAAACAATATGTAATCGCTTCAACAATAAAAGATTGTTAACCCACAACCACATTAAGGCGATTTTCAAGATTAAATATATGCAAGAAGAGTCTCCTAGTCAGATTCGTGAGATAGTAGATAAAATTAACAAGTACTTAAGAGCTTTGAATGCGTTAGGGCAATCAACTGAACATTGGGACGCGTTACTCATTTATTTAATTTCATCGAGATTGGATAACATTACAGCGAGAGAATGGGAAAAACAGTGCGCAGATAATGAGCTTCCGAGTTTAGAAGAGTTTAGAGAGTTTCTTAACTCGCGGGCAAGTCTATTAGAGACATTAGAATTAAATAATAAGAAAGGGACACATATATCTATGAAGGTAAATCGTAACAAATCAAAATCGTTTTTAATTCAGAAGCAAACTTGTGCAAATTGTAATGAAACACATTATATACAGAATTGTCCTAAATTCCTAGAGCTTACACCACAAAAAAGAGCAGAATATTTAAAAAACGCAAAACTATGTCTTAATTGCTTGAAACCAGGACACTATATTAAGGATTGCAGGGCTGGTCCGTGCAGACAATGCACAGGTAAACATAACACCTTAATATATTTTGAGAAGCCTTCATCAGCACAGCCAGCGGAGAGCAAGGAGGGCACCACTGAATCTAAGGTATTGTTTGTGTATAATCAAGGCAACAATATTCATGTTTTGTTATCGACGGCAGTCGTACTTGTTAAGGACAAGCAAGGTAACATGCACAAGGCTCGTGCTATCCTTGATCCTGGATCACAATCCAGTTTAATTACGAACAATTTTTGTAAGAAGTTAAAGTTAGAAAGATCTGAAGTACGTATTAATTTAGAAGCTGTTAACAACGCAGCGTGTCAAATAAAACACAAGTGTGATATTGTTGTGTCAGCATGCCACTTTAATTTTGAATTTACTTTACCATGTCTTATCATTCCAGAGATAACCGGACCGTTGCCGAACGTTAGACTAGATAAGCAGAGTTTTTAAATACCTTCTAATATTAAATTGGTAGATCCCTCTTTTCATATACCAGCCAGGATAGATATTCTTTTGGGAGCAGATTGCTTCTGGAACTTACTCTGTGTAGGACAGATCAAGATAGGAAAAGAACAACTTACATTGCAGAAAACAAAATTAGGCTGGTTAGCAGCAGGACTATTAATGACTCAACCTACAAATGTAGTACGTTATAATTTAAGTAAGTGTGTCGATATAAGCGAACAAATTGCTAAGTTTTGGGAACTCGAAGAAGGTTTCAATCAAAGAGTTTTTTCTCAAGAAGAAAAAGAATGTGAATCACATTTCTCCAGCACACATAGACGCGAGAAGGGTAGATTTGTAGTTAAAATTCCCTTAAAGAAAGATTCATGCGCCTTAGGTGAGTCTTACGGTAAAGCACTAAAACGTCTAGTTAATCTCGAAACAAGGCTACGCAAAGATTCTACAATTAGAGAACAGTATATAACATTTCTACAAGAGTATAAGGAATTAGATCATATGAGGAGAATAGAAAGTAATCAAATAAACAAGTCTGCTTATTATCTTCCGCACCATTGTGTAATTCGGGATGAAAGCTTAACGATAAAGATCCGTGTTGTTTTTGATGCGTCCGCAGCGACTGATAATGGGGTTTTGTTAAATGATATACAAATGGTAGGTCCTACATTGTAGGACGACTTATTCGCGATACTTATTAGATTCAGAGCACATACATACGTAATATTGGCGGACATAGAAAAAATGTTTAGGCAGATACTTATAGCACCTGAGCAGCGCTTCCTACAGAGAATATTGTGGCGCGAGGATACAAAGGATCCTGTACAAGTGTTTGAATTAAACACTCTTACTTATGGTATTGCTTCAGCACCATACCTAGCCACTAGATGTTTAATAGAATTAGCTAACGAAAATGAATCGCAATTTCCAGAAATAGCAAGGATTATAAGGAAGGATTTTTATATCGATGACCTTATAACCGGGGCTGATACCATGGAAGAGGCAACAAATATAGTACATGAGATTTCGCGTATATTAGCATTTGCAGGATTTAAACTTCGCAAATGGATTTCGAATGAACCTGCTATAATTCGAGACGTTCCATTAGAAGATCAAATTCTAAGCTATACTAAATTTACCGACGGTGATCAAATTAAAACTCTTGGCTTAGTATGGCAGGCACATCATGATAGATTAATGTATACCACAAGGGATTTACCACAAACGAAGGTAACTAAAAGAAAAATACTTTCTGAAATATCACAGATATTTGATCCTCTAGGCCTTTTAAGTCCATGTACTATTATGTCCATGTACATGTCTATTATTGCAAAAACGTTATTACAAAGTTTATGGCTACACAAACTTACGTGGGATGAATCACTTCCACATGATTTGCATTCTAAATGGATATCCTTTCGAGCGCAATTAAAGAATTTAAATTACCGCGACCTGTAATTTGTAAAGATTATAAGGAGTTACAATTACACGGTTTCGCGGACGCATCACAAAATGCATATGGTGCATGCATCTATATAAGATCAACAGGGCAACATTAACGTTCATTTGTTGTGTTCTAAAACTAGAGTAGCTCCACTTAAATCACAGACGATACCGCGATTAGAGCTGTGCGCAGCTGTTGTACTAGCTCATTTAGTAAAAAAGGTTGTTGAATCATTGGATAAGTCATTCAATAGAATTATTTACTGGAGTGATTCTTCAATAGTGCTGGATACGTATGCAAGCGAACAAGTTACAAATATTTGTATCGAACCGTGTATCAGAGATACAACAATTAACAGATTACAATAGTTGCCGACAAAGGAAAACCCAGCCGACTTATTATCTCGAGGATTGTCGGCAGATCTTTTGACAGAATCAAAACTATGGTGACATGGTCCATGCTTTTTATCAAATTCGGAACAAGAATGGCCAGTTTAGCCAGAATTTAAGACCAATAACTTAGAACTAAGAAAGACGGTCTGTACTTTAAGGTTAAAACCAGAAACAGATTCGTCTTTATTTACGATCACAGCAAATTTAAACCGTCTTGTACGCATTGTTGCATATTGTAAGAGATTCATAGAGAACTGTAGACATCGCGATAAACATAGGTCGGGAATTCTTACAGTTATAGAATTAAAGGATGCGTTATATACACTCGCCAAATTATCCCAAGCGCAATCCTTCGCTACTGAAATTCAAAGTCTAAAAGAAGGTGAGCGAATTACGAAGGGGAAATTACTTTACTTAATCCCTTTCTTGACAGTACGGGTCTCTTGCGGGTCGGTGAAAGACTTAAGAATTCAGAATTTACTATAGATAAGAAACACCCAATAGTTATATCCGCGGAACATCAATTTACTAAGACGCTCTTCTTGACCGAACATTTG